TTGATTCTAAGGAAATTGATTCATCCATAATTCTTGCTCGATCTCTTCTAGTGCGTAAATACCATACTTGTAGTAATATGAATACCGAAAACAAAGCTGTCATATGATTTAAGTAGATATAATCAAGCATATCATCATCCATTGATGCCACAAATCAGAACCTAAAAATTTAGCATAATTCATGTTAATCTGTAAGAACTCAAATTACTAGTACCTACAAGTCTATATAATTGCAAAAAAATAGAGTACAATAACAAAACTGCAGAGAATGAAGTACAATAACTAAACTACAAAAAAAGAGAGTACTCAAAAATGCACAAGTGTAGAAAACAACATAAAAAATACCATAAAAAAGCACAAAAAAAAGAACAGAAAAAAATTACACAAAAAAACAGAAAAAAAGAGAAATGATTTTACGCCTGCAAAACCTTTCTGCAAACATTGTAATGAGAATTGTATACAGAGTTGTAATTCTAGTGCCTTCTCTGCATTTCCTTCACTACAGAAGCCATTAATAATGTAATTGAAGGTAAAGCCATCAAAGGAACTCCACTACTCATCATTTCTTCAAAAAGATTACTGGCCTCAACTAGTTCACCTTTTGCACACAATCTATGTATAACAGCATTATATCAATACAAATTTAGCAATTCATTTATATGCCTCATGTCTAGAAGGTAATCGAAAGCAAAGTAAACACAACCTCTTCTAAAAAAACCCGTGATATAAACGCTGTGTGTTACAACAAATGGACTCAAAAATGCAAAATTCTAGAAAAAAGATAAAAAATTACCAGAAAAAAACACAAAAAAAAAGAACATAAAAAAACCACAAAAAAAAAACAGAAAAAAAAAGAGTGAAATGAAAATTGAAAAAAGGGACACAAAAAAAACAAAAATCTGGTATGAAGGAAGCATGGTATTATGTAAATCTGGGCAATAATTGGGTTGAACCTCAATTTGACTTTATTTTTTTTCTTCCTGTGCAATAATTGGGTGATAATATACGCAAAGCAGAGCAGAAAAAGTAATAATCTTCACTACAATTCGGTTGGAGATGGCTATGGGTTATACATTACAATACGAGAAGCCGAACAAATATAGCCAACACAAAGCAGAGCAGAAATACATATACGCAAAGCAGAGCAGAAAAAATTGGAATACCTGGTTGGAGATGGCTATCGGAAGACGACGATGGCAATGCGAAGATGGTGATTGGTTTTCTATGGGTACGGCGATTTGGGTACTGAAGGATAGCAGCGGAAAATAAAATTCATTACCTCCATATTTCGCCAATTTGGCGGTCATCCAAATTACACTGTTCAGAGGTAACCCTACCTCTCCCTACTTCCCCTTACCTCTCTTTACCTATCCCAATTTTTGTTACCAAACAAGGCAGAAAATTAAATCTACCTCTACCTACCTCCCCCTACCTCCAAACAAACATAGCGTAAAAGTTTCAACTCATAGTCTCGTACAACTCTTTTTGTCCGAGGCCTTGCATCTCGCAAAACAAAGGGCACAATCATTTTCCCAAAATTTCTACCTCATTTGTACACCAAAGGTACGCACCAAAATTTTGATTGTTGACACTGACACAAAATGTTGAT